GGCTGATACGAGATAATAATTACTTTTTTGATATTAATACAAGTAAGTGTTATTGCAGCATCGTTTGAGTAATTGTTGTCCAGTCTGAAATTCTTGCATCACTGTCTAAATATGAAATGTATCACAGCAGGATTTATCTTTCTGCAATTACCGATACTTTCCTAATATGTATAAAATGATGACATTTACCGTACCATTGATAAGCATTCCATTGATTGTACAGGTACATTGTATATTCACACCACAATTCCCAAGTAACAACAATATTTAACTTGATCCCCTACCCCACAAATTCTAAATTGTAAATTGAATATTTTATCTAAAACTTATAATTGTTCAAAAATAAAATAGAATCAAGCTGCTTGATAAAAAACTGAAAGTGAACAGTGTTATGGTACTCCTCATAAACTATAAAGTGTACCATTAATTTCAGTTCAAGAGCTGTATGTCAGTTTGTTGTTATAAAGGCAATATATAAAAGGCAAATTGCATTTATTTCTGAATCAATAAAATGGAAAATGTTTGAATGATGGACATCTGACATCAAATTTGGTTCACCAGCATCAACCATTTTGGGTCACATGTTAGCCATTTTGGGTCGCATGTCAGTTATTTTGGGTCACATGGCAGCCATTTTGGATTACATTTCGGATCACATGTCAGCCATTTTGGATTACATTTCGGATCACATTTCAGCCATTTTGGATCAGATCACAAAGTACATTCATATTATAATAGATTTACGCAACAAAAAAATTAATATTCAACACTCATTGCAGTTAAGAACATCAAACAAATTTGGCAGTCTACAAATGATTGTGTTATTAGCATGAATATAACAGACATTGCTAGCACATTAATCTATAGTCTTACCCAATGCCAATAGAACTTTAGCAAAGAAAATGAACGTGTCAGCACAGCTATTATGTATTGTTTGTTCACACAGAAATACAACATTACTGCTTACATTGTATATAATAATAACATGGATCAGTAAAGTGCATTTAAATCTTAAATAGTTACACATTGCCTGCTAGTAGCCATTAACCGTCTTCTCTCCCTAAATGTTTATAATGAATTGACCCTTAACCTTTCCACCACCAGACTTTCTCACCCAAATTTTTCTGCACTTTTTTCTTATATTTTTCAATATTTCTGGAAATGAACCCTATTTTTGGAACCAACAGACAAAATTTAAGTCAATTTTTAGTTTTTACTCCAAAAAATTGGCTATTTTTGTCCAAAACTTCTGAAGGAAAGTGCAGAATATAAACAGGACTATTTTGTGAATTTGTGATGAAATCAGGGAACTGGTGGTGGAAAGGTTAATCGGACACAGGTATGATACACTTAAGCCAGGTACAATCCTTTATAGAGTGTACTAATATTGTATTATTTTTAAATAGGTAATTTTTGCTTGCATGATTTCAGATCATTCACGACTCCTTCCTGGGACTCGTAATTAAGCATGTAAGCTTGTTTATTCAGCACTTTGCAAACGTAATATTTAAAGCGAGAGGGGTGTCACCTGCACATGTGCGCGGGAATTGAGTCCCAAGCGATGATAACAACACATGCTTAGAACACAAAGACTCATTGGTAGATGCTTGTTTGTAAACAATGACACGCTATGACCATCTGATGCATATGCAGGTGAAGATACCCCCTGCTTTAAAGAGCATCATAGAATTGATACTATTAAGCATAGTGAGTGGGCTGAAGTGATAGCAGACATCTAAAATGAAATGCTTCAAAACATATAGTGGTGACTTTGGCATACTGTGGTATGTATTTGTTTACAGTGGTAAGGTGCTTTGCCAAGTTCGCATGTTCCTAAATTTGCCTGTGTTTATATTAGTTCCCCTCTGATGCTGATCACTGCAGGCAGCTATGTATATTGTCCAAAGGAAAAACTTGAATACTATGAATACCTGGCTTTATATGAATGTCCATGGTGTTGTAAATTTGGCTTATGCATCTTCATCTAGTCACCATTGTGAAGGGCAAGTTCATTGGACGTTGTTAAGGTCCGACTTTGGCTGTCAGTAACTTTTGCATATTAAGGTGTGCATTTGTTTACAGTTCGTAATTTGCATATTGAGTGAAAAAAAAACTAGTGTCCCAATATTAAGTGCAAAATATAGAGCACATTTGTTCTGCCCATTTAAATGCAAAACTTTTCCTGCCAAATTTTTGCACATTTGCATCTATTCTTATTATTTCTGAACAAAATGGATGTAAATTGATCAAATTGTTTTAAAAAATTGCTCATCATTAAATATTGTTCATTTCTACAAAACAAAACAAAATTGTTGACGATTCAATTCAACGTTTTAATTAAGCATGATTTAAAACTCTGCTCTTTACCTATTCTCTAAAATGTGGAAGATATTACTTTAAAATAAAAAAAAACACCTCCTGATTTAGATTAGGTAAAAAGGAATTTTTTCTGTTACCA